CCCTGGGTTCAGGCAATTCTCCTGCCTCAGCCTCCTGAGTAGCTGGGATTACAGGCATGCGCCACCATGCCCAGCTAATTTTTTGTATTTTTGGTAGAGACGGGGTTTCACCATGTTGACCAGGATGGTCTCGATCTCTTGACCTCGTGATCCACCCACCTCGGCCTCCCAAAGTGCTGGGATTACAGGCTTGAGCCACCGCGCCCGGCCAGAATGACCTTTTTAAAGCCTCAGTCAGATGTCATTCTGTCACCCAAAACTTTGTAATAACTTCCTTTACTCAGGGTAAAAGAAAAAGGCCATCAAAAAGGTCTACAAGGCCATATGCAATCTGACCCCATTAGCTCCTTCTCTATAGTTTACACTGCTTTACTCACAGTGGCCTCCTTGTTTCTTGAAAACACCAGGCACATTTCATGCTCAGGACTTCTCCACTGGCTGCTTTTGCATTGGATGCTGTTATCCTCAGGCGTTGGCTTGCTTAACAACTTCGCAGCCTCCAAGTGTTTAATTAAATGCCACTTTTTTTTCAGTGAGAGATCATCCTATTTGTTACTGTAACCCTACCCATCCCCTTCACACTCCTGATCTTCCTTTATCTTGCTCTATTCCGCCCACCCCAAAGCAGTTACCTTCTAACATACTAAATAATTTACTATGTTTATTTTCTAGCTTTGTCCTCTTTTAGAAGATTTGTCCCATAGGGTGGATTTGTTTTGTTCATTGATGTATCTCAAGCACCTAGAATAGTGTCTGGCTCATAGACCTTCGATAAATATTTGTTGAATGGAAAAATATGCAGATGTCTCAAACTGGCAGCCCCAGAACCAAATTTTGCTTAGTTTTTAATCAACAATTTTTCTAGTAGTCAATATTTTTTAAAGTTGGAGAGATTCACTACAAAACTGTCTTTCCAGTTTCTGTTGAAAAATCGTACGATACAGCACCATAAATTCTGCATTCCTGCATGGAACTGGATGGAATTACATTGTATGGACTTCTTTGAGATAAGGTGTGAGCTTTCCCATTTTGCTACAGCCTCACATTGCAATTCCACTAATTTCCATAGGCTGTCTAGGTCCCTGAAGGCATTTAGTTTGGAATTCTCATCCTACAAGGGTTCAACAATCTGTAGCAACCCTGGGTTATTAAGGATAGGAATGGTAATAAAAATACTCAGATGGTAGGAGCTGGGAACCAACTAATCAGGTCACCACTGGATCAGAGCCTTGGAAGACTCCTGCAGTGTCAGATACCAACTCTTTAGTTGCTGGATTTTAGGCGAAGGGGAGTGTCCCCAGAGGAGCAGGGTGGGTAGGCACAAGTGCTCAGGCAGGGCTGTTTGCCACCCAGCATAGAAGTCTTCAAGTTCTATTTTTTATTCATACAGCCATAATGTGCATACTAGTTGAATATGAGCCTTGGATAAAGATTAAGGTAGGGTAAGAGAGCAGCAGGAGTCCTGAGGTGACATAAGGGCTGACCCTTTGTCTATGTCATAATGCCATCCAGGTCACAATGACACCAGGTTGCCTAAATCTCTGCCACTCACCACTGAACCTCACTTTGCCACAGGGAGGCACTGAACTGAAAAACTGCCTCGTAACAGGTGGCGCCCCTCCGTCTACTCCCTTTCTTATATCAAGAGGGGAAAAACACGAAACTACCTCTACCCAATCTGGTCACCATACGCCTATTACCTTTACTGTTACAAGTACCGGATCACCCTCCGGGAGAAGATGCTGCCTTGTTGTTATAAAAGGTACTTGTGTTCATCTCTATTTGTAGTTGACTATATAAAATGTAAGGAAAAAGTAAAAGAATTTGAAAGAATTTCCCAAATGGCAAGAAATAACAGCGGAATAGGGGGTGGAAAGCTGGCATGAAACCTTTATAATTTTTCCATCTGGCTGGCCCAGGAATATAGAAACAGGCTGGACAACAGAAAATACACAAGATCATACCAGAGCCTGGTCCTGTGTATCTAGAAGTTATGTCTTCCCACCTCGATTCCAACATAAACTAATTTGGGTCTCTTTCCCAACCAGCATCACTTATAAGGAAGAGGAGGACCTGACACTCCAGCCCCGTTCCTGCCTCCAGTGCTCCTGAGTCCCCAGTAGGCCTCCAGGTGGGCAAAAGCACCGAGCAGAGTAACTACAACCAGCTTAAAGAACTGTATTCGGTAAGTGGACTGAACTGGTGCTGTGACAGGGCAGCCTTTTGCTTGCTGTAATGATACCTGGCAAAGGGACATCAGCAAGTTGAAAGATGAATTATAGACAGAGGTAGATGGGACCTTGGAATGCATGTGTAAAAGCTATTTGTCATATGGACAAGGATTCTGGCCCACAGGCTGTAAATCAAGGTCATACAGGTGGTAGTGAAAATCACGGTAGGAAAAGAGGGAGTGGGGACAAAGGTAGAACAAACTCTATAGGACTTCTGGGACCTAAAGCTGTTCAGATGCTAAGCAGGACCTGGGATCCAGAACTTGTGCACGTATCATATTGCAGTTAACAAGTCTGGTTATAACCACGGCATTTTAAATAGAAGACTTTAGAGAAAACCCATATAATGAAAAAAGTAGAAATTATTAGTGAGAAAGGAAGCACATTATAAAGCTTTGTTTTAATCCTAAACTCTCTGATGTAAACATTTCTAAGTTCCTAAATGGTTACTGTACTCCTGGAGTGAAGTCAGCATGCAGTAATACTGCCTTAACTGGACTGTTTGATATACAGGAGAACTCTATAATAGGCATAGATTATTAGTTCCTAGGACTACGGGATATTACTGCATCTTTAAGATCTTGGCTCCAATTCTCCCAGGCTCCCTCCATCAACACCCACTTTGCTTCAATGGACACACCCAAATCTTCCTGAAGTCTAATTTAAAGACTAGATGACCATTTTTACTCCTTTTCCAGGCTGGAAACTTGACGGTGCTAGCTACTGACCCCCTGCTCCACCAGGACCCAGTACAGTTAGACTTTCACTTCCGCCTCACTTCCCAGACCTCTGCTCATTGGCACGGCCTTCTCTGTGACCATCGACTCTTCCTGGATATCCCATATCGGGCCCTGGATCAAGGCAACCGAGAAAGGTGACTGACCCTGGATGGGAGAATGGGGAGGGAAGGATAGGGGATTTCACCCATCTTATTGTGTCACAGTACATAGGGCTGATTCTGGAGCTGGATATAAGAAATTCATTCACTGGGCATGCAGATAAGCCTGTGAACTGAGCCAGGATCCGGGGTTCAAGGGATAAGAGTCCATGGGAAGTTGAACTCAGATCCAGAAATGGCTGAATAATGGGAAGTGCTTTCTAGCTGCTCATCTCAGTAGTCCTTTCTCCTCAGATCCCTACTGTGGCTTACATCAGTGGTGTGCAATCTCTTGGCTTCAGAGAAAAATCTCCCAAAACTAGTTTAGCAACTTTCATTCCCAGCTTGGGTGGGTGGAGGGTAGAAAATGACCAATAAGATTTTTTTCTGCTCCAGGTAGGTGTCTTTCTGGATTCTGAGTTGGCCAAACATTTCCTTAACTGTTTTTCTGTGGCTCCTAGTTTGACTGCAACGCTGGAGTTCGTGGAAGAGAAGACAAATGTGGACTCAGTGTTTGTGAACTTCCAGAATGATCGGAGCGACAGAGGTGGGGAATCTGCTGTTATTCCTTGCTCTTCGAGCTGAGGCAGCTGGATCACTCCTATTCCTTTATAGGAGACCCTCTTCTTCCGCTCATCTTTAAATATGCACCCTCGGGCATTTCAGGGATTCTTTTCTTCCCACCCACCACAAAGGAAGTTAAAGTGTCTAGCATTCTTTTCCATTAAGTTACAATTGAACTCTCAAGAAGCCCCTGCAGGGGGTGTTAGAGGCCAGACTAAAGGAGCACTGTTGAAATTACAAAGAATCCATTCAAAGGATGTGGTCAGCAGGACAATGGATGTCAAATATACTGAGCACCTACAATGTGAAAGGGTCAGACATAAGGCAAAGGGAACGGGAACATATTTAAGCAGATGCCTGGAGCATATGTTACAGAAACTATAGGCTCTTGCCTCAAGGAGTTCAAACTCTCCTAGATACAAGGGATGAATAACCATTCATAAGTAATAGATACTATTTCAGAGCTCACTATGCCATCATTGTATTAGGATATAGACTTCACTAATCTCTAGTGGTAAGCACTTCATGAACATCTCATTTAATCTTAAATTCTGTGAGGAAGGAAGCTTCTATGATTTGTAAATGGAAAATTTTATAAATGGAAAACTGAAGTTCTGAGGGGCTACAAGTGTTAAAGCCAGGGTTAGAGCTTAGGTATGTTTGACTACAGCACATCCTATGTGCCTGCATTACACTGCTTCCCAGGGCCACTCCCTAGTGGAAGAAATCAAATCTGGGGACATATGTGTATTGAGTTTTAAAGCATGTTCTGATCATTTGTTCTATTCTTCCACAGGTGCCCTGCTGCGGGCCTTCAGCTACATGGGCTTTGAGGTGGTCAGACCAGGTCACCCTGCCCTCCCTCCCTGGGACAATGTCATCTTTATGGTGTATCCCCTTGAAAGGGATGTTGGCCACCTGCCCAGTGAGCCTCCCTGAACATGCTTATTCCAACGCTTTGAGGGGCTGGAAGCCTTGACACATGGGAATCAGGGGCCTGGGATGTGATTCCGGACACCTTCCATCCTAGGAATAAAGGGCAGTGCAATCATCAAGTGTTCACTGTTTCTTGGGGGGATAATAGGGTTGGCTGGAGTGGGACATACACCTTTCAAAGCTGAATTCACTGAAAAGATCACAGAAGACCTGAACTAGAGAGGGAAAGTACCCAAGGATTTTCGGTTCCCTTTGCCTTCCTCCATGCCCCAAACCATTTCCCCATTTATTCTAACCATTTACTGATCAATCAGTGAACTCCCTAGTTCAGAAAGACTAAGCTTTGTTGGGCTGTTTTTATTCATATATTTCAGTAGAGGTGCTGTAGATGTGGAGAAAACCCTAGAAGGCACATAGATCCCTTGGCTTTGGCCCAAGGTGGGGATCTCAAAAGACAGAACAATAGGTAACATAGAAGAGGGCATTCCAGGAGCAGGAAAAGTACTGGGCTGTACTGACAGAAAGGGATGTAAACAGGTAAGACTTAAAGGCATATTAAAGACACTTATACATAGTAAACCCTAGGTAGGAATGAGACATACTCATTTTCCAGATTAGGAAGTCTTATGAATGATTATATCGGGGACCTCTATCCTTAAGAGTAAAGTTTCCCTAAGGAACTATGGAAACTGGGGACCAAATAGCCTCATGACCCTGTATGGTAGCACCAATTCCAGGGCTGAGCATGCTTCAACAAGTTCACTGCAGCCAACGTCTGAAACATCAAATAAATGCAAGCCCCTTAAAGATTCCTCCAAGACTACATGAGCTACTCACCAGATCTGTTCCTTCACTAGAGCCTTTCTGCTAATCGGTACTGAGATTTTTCTATTTTCTTTTTTTGGAGACAGTGTCTTATTTTGTCACACAGGCTGGAGTACAGTGGTGCCATCTCAGCTCTCTCACTGCAACCTCTGCTTCCCCGGGCTCAAGCGATCCTTCCACCTCAGCCTCGAGTAGCTGGGACCACAGGCACACATCACCAACCCTGGCTCATTTTTTTGTATTTTTGTTAGAAATGGAGTTTCACCATGGTGCCAGGCAGGTCTGCCTCAGCCTCCCAAACTGTTAGGATTATAGGCGTGAGCTACTAGTGCCTGGCTAATACTGAGATTTTTCTGAGAAAATTTTGAGAATTGTGGTTGTGAGAAAATTTCCATGTAGTATACAGGTAGATCTCGCTAATCCCCAAATTAAAAAAAAAAAAAAAAATCTTATGTACTAATATTAAGTTTTCTAGTTTATCTTGTTTTATCCTTAAAAAAGTTCATTTCACTTGCCATTTTTCTACCATCCACATTACTATACATTTATATTTACTTTCAAGTACCTCAAGTGGTGTTAAAGTTTTGTACAAAGTTTACAGTAGAGTAGAGATCTCTTCCTTAAAGATTCCTCCAAGACTACATGAGCTACTCACCAGAGCTGCTCCTAGAATCCTGGTTTGTAGAATCTTAATCTGGGCCTTTTCTTTTGAATAGTATAGGTGGGCTCTTATTCACACAGCCTAAACCTAAATTGGTTCTGGTTCTTAGTGAATAGTTCTTTTTTTTTGGAGACAAAGCCTTGCTCTGTTGCCCAGGCTGGAGGTGCAGTGGTGTGACAACCTCTGCTTCCCAGGTTCAAGTGATTCTCATGCCTCAGTCTCCCAAGTAGCTGGGATTACAGGTGCCCATCACCATGCCTGGCTAACTTTTGTATTTTTAGTAGAGATGGGGTTACCAGGTTGGCCTCAAGTGATCCGCCTGCCTCAGCCTCCCAAAGTGCTGGGATTACAGGTGTGAGCTACCGTTTCTGGCCAGCAAATGGTTGTTTCTGAAGTGACTTTAGGGAAATAATATAAATGTCTATATGGGAGGGAGGGACACTTGTTTCATAGATGGGCCCCTTTCTGTGAGGCAGTTTTCATCAGATTTAGGCTCACAGCTTGCTTCCACCTTGTGATTCAATCAGAATTTGGTTTTAGAAAATTTTCTTGAGAACTTTATTCAGCAAAAAAAAAAAAAAAAAAAAAAAAAAAAAAAATCCTCCAAATGATTTAAACAGAACTGTGTATTCTTTCTCTCTCTCCATGGGTGTATATGTATGTATACATATAGATATTACACTAGCAATTTAGAAAATTTCCTGAGCCTCTGTCTCCTTTCTACTTATATCTTAACTAAAGGTTACAGACAAATAGCTGGAGCAGTTTCAAAAACCTGTCTCAATAACATATTAGCAATTGAGGCTGGGAGGCAGTATTCTCTTCCCACTTCCTGAGGCTTTTAAATATAATTATGCTAATTTTTGCCTTTGCCTCCTAATTCAACTACAGTCTTTGAGTTCACCACTCAAAAACTTTCCTTAACCAGAGTCACCTGAAAAGGTGAGTCAGAAGTCTGCAGAATCATCACTTCCAATGACCAAAGCCTGACTGTTTCCCAGCCTTGAAAAGGACCCAGCCTAGCAGTGATGCGCATTATGACTGGGTAGAGGGGACGAAGCCTGATGCTGAACAGTCTGGAAGTAACACAGCAGTATTCAAACCCTGAAGGGTTGGAGACAGAGCAGGGAGGTGGAATGGGGGAATGTGTCTACACTTGTCTCCCTCTGTGCCACACCTTTTTTGGTAGTCCAATGGGAGGAGAACATGAATTTGGTCCACAGCAAGCCAGGCTGTATGTGTAATAAAGGAAGGACTGCATGGATCCTTTATCATACACTCCTCTCCTCCAGGCACAAATTCTATTGCCAAATCCTGCCAAAGACAGAAATACAAAAAAAGCTTGAAAGTGCTCAATCTGAGAGCAAGTTAAGCTGCAGGAAAGCAGCAGCAGAGAAGTATATTAAGACAGGGTAGAGAAGAGGGAATCAGAGCAAGTGCCCCAGTGTCACCCTCATTACTTTCCTGTTGCTACAGATAGAGAATAGCTACACTCACACAGCAAAGCATATGGTTGAGCAAGCTGAAGCGCAGACTTCAGAGTAAGTAGTCATCTTCAAGGTTATCATCACCAGACATGGAAGCAGCTTCTATTGAAGAGAGATAAGAAGGAGAAAGTTAGACACTGCCCTATTCTAGCAGGCACTGCCAGCGAGGCTCAAAAGAAAAATGGACCTCTTAGTGCTCAATGACCTGACTAGGAACTAAGCCTTCAATTAACCTCCCTCGTTTGGAAAGACTCAATGAGAAAAGTTAACTTCCAAAGACGCTCTAGGGAGGAAATGCTGCTTGTACCTGATAAGCTGAGGCAGGAAAGGGTATGCGTTATCTCTCCAGGGCTCTTTTTGGTCTCAGTGAGCAAGGTGCTGAGAGAGGCATCTGTTTCTGTGGCCTGAGTGGAGGAAAAGAGGAAAAAAGGAGGAACATGTTGGCTTTTAGGACAAAAGAGGCCACCCTTTCATTCCTCTCATAGGACCTGGTTAAGGCAGTTGCATTTGGCTACCAAGATGGACAAAATGCTCCTTGGGTCAAGTACTGTAGGAGCTCAGAGTCCTTAAGAAAGGACTAGAAGCCCTTAGTGTCTATGTGCTACATTTGCCTGGAAGAAGCACCCTGTAAACTACAATGGCTCACCATGTCCTTCATGTCTAAGGCAGCTCTGTTTTCTTCCATGTCTTCAGGAAGCTCAATTGCATATCCTTTGCGTACTAATTCTAGCCCAATATCAACTTTCTGAGAAGAAAAATGAAAAGGGAATGATGTTCTCTCAGTAAGCAAGGGCAAATTTGAGAAAACAAGGCAGGACTGACACTTTAAAGACATTCCTTTGGTGAGATGGTAAGAAGGATCTTACAAAGTAAGAGTAGTATCAGATAAGGGTTTCTGGGAAAGAAAAAATAAATTAGGCTATAAATACACTGAAGATATAATAGGCAGTTTGTGAATGCCAGTCTTACCTTCCCATTGCTAGTATCATATAAGTAGATCTTTGGCCAAGTTGAGATCCCAGTTTGGACATAGCTAGAGATCTTGGCTACTAGAGGCTTCCAGTCAGCACAATGAGTGAGTCTATCAAACTCATCCAAAGCTTCCTCTTCCCATTGGTCACCTGGCAAAAGATTGTAGGGTTTATTGCTGGTAGGGGTGGGGATTATACCCTGGAAGGAAGTTGGAACTACCTTTTTCTACTCAGGAAGGCACCTGTGTCTTCTCTGGTGGGGTTGGGTCTGCCAGTCAAGTTTCTGGCTGCTGCTAGTGCTGGTGAGGAAAAGGCACCCAAGCCCCCAGAATTCAAAAAGCCTGGGAACGTGAGAATTCCTTCCAATGAACTGTACGAAAATTATTCTATTTGGAGGTAAGCTCAATAGATGGCATGATCAATTTACCTGAGGGGGCGATCCGTGCCAGACTACATTCTATTGCTTGAAATGGAAGGCTTAGGAAGTCACTCCTGAAGTAAAAGAAACTAAAATTAGAATCCTGGGGCCAGAAACTTCTTATTTTGCTGCTTTCAGACAGAACCAACTAACATGAGATGATAACCATCTGCTCTCTATAAACAGGTTCCCTTCCAAATCCCCCTGACAAATGCCAACAGCTCACCACCCTATGGCCAGAACTGAGTCAATAGTTGGGAAGCAGCTAACTTCACCCTGGCCTCAGCACTGACCTGAGAGCCCTGAGGTCCTTCAGTGGGCAATCTCCATTATCTCCAAAATCAACAAAGTAGAGGTCCAAGTTTCCATTCTCCAAGGTGCCAAGGACCCGGGCTCGATACCAGGAACCATTTGTAGGTAAAGGTGCTGCTACAATGTCTCCTACATACACAGTCAAGTCTTCGGGCTGTACATGGGGATGAGGAATCAGGAGAGCATAGAGTTACAAAGCGGTAGTGCTCATAAATAGAATAGTAGAAGAAAGAAAGAACAAGTAGTTGCTCCACAGGGAAAGGATGAGATTGTAATGAGAAAGATATGCCTTCCTTTTCATTGAACCCCAGCAACTCACCACACTATTCTCATAGTGCTGGGTCATCTCATTGACAAGCTTGTCCAACTGCAGGCTGCGGGAGCCAACGATCTGGATCCAGAAGTGGTTGGGGTGTTCAGAAGCAGAGACGTAGACTTCTA